GGGAGGCCGGCTCGCTGGACGTGTCCGGGGCGCGGCGGCTCTCCGAACCTCGAGCACTGTGATGGGCGGCGGCCAGGAGGCCAGGTCGGTGGCCCCCGGTCCGCGGCGGCGGCGGCGGGCGGGAGTGGGGCGGCACGAAGGCGGGCTGGAGCCCAGGCCCCTCTGCCTCCCTTCAGGTGCCCATGGCGTCGGAGCGGCGCAGGGTCAGGCACCGCTGGAGCAGCCCTGCGGAAGGGCGTCCCCGCAAGCGCAGCTGCCTCCGGGGCTCCGGTGATGTGGCCGCCTCCAGCCGGCAGCCTCCTGGCTCTGCGGCGCGCCCCCGAGCGGCCCGCAGCCCCGCGCGCCTGAACGCCCGGGACGACGACGATGTGGCCTGCGCACCCAGGCCGCCTCGGAGTTCCTCGCGCCGCAGAAATTCCTCCTCCTCCTCCTCGTCCTCCTCCGCCTCTTCCTGCTCCTCCGGGGCAGGCGTGCGCGGGGCCGCCCAGCGAGGCTCCCTGAGTCGGGGCGCTCGGGGGTGTCCTTCGGCCAAGCCCTCGCTGGAAGAAATGGCTTCTCTCGAGGAGGACGCCTGCAGCCTTAAGGTACGCAGCCACGACGCCTTGCGGTCGCTGGAGCCCGGTCCACGTGGTTTGAGACGCTGGGGTTGGAGTCAGAAAGATCAGGTCCTTGAAGGTCTCGGGGATCTTTCCTACGCGACCCAAATCGGAAAGGCCACGGGCCTGCAGGGCCCGAAGTTGAGTGGAGAGATAGTTTTCTAACTTGGTGGTACTTAGAACTCCTTGGAAAGCTGCAAAAATACTTGTGCCTGCCTTCCCACGCCACACCAGACAAACAAGTGCAGGCTGGTCTTCCGGATTTGCACATGTTTCTCAGGTGTTTGTAAATGTGCAGTGAGGCTGGACCGTCCCTGCAGTAAGAGGAGACAAAAGATGCTTTGTGTTTTTGTGTTTCAGTTGGTCATTTTAGGGAATTGTGTGCCCTTGGGCTTTGAACCATTCTGAATGACCGATTCAAGGAATTTGGTTATTGGTATGGCCTTCAAAGTCATGGTTTCCAGCGCAGAAGAGTTTTGCTTATTTTTCAATTTTGTGGTGATTGTATTTTTATTTTATTTTATTTTTGAGACAATCTCTCTAGTTCAGGCTGACCTCAAACTTGTGGCAGTCCTCCTGCTTCAGCTTCCCAGATTGTTTTGTTTTTGGAGGCCAGCAGTCTCATTTTTCACTAGAAATACATAGGAGGGATTCATCAGTACTTGGAGCAAACTGAGGAGTGCCTCACATTCTACCCAGTTGTCAGACAGGTTTCAGGTGGAGACTTTTTTCTTTTCTTTTTGCGCTTTTTGAGACAGGGTTTCATTATGTAGTTCAGGCTGGCCTTGAGCTCTCATTGTAGCCCAGGCTGGCCTCAAACTCGCAAGCATCCTCCTGTCTGAGCCTCGAGTGCTAGGATTGCAGGCGTGTGCCACCATGCCTGGCCTCAGATGGAGACTTCTTGAGGGCCTGGTGTGGACTTCCCTCCTAGAGCCTACATTCTAGGTTTTGAGCAGGCCTAGAAAAGATGAGGAGTCCTGTACCTGAAGGGGCCAAGAAAAAGCCTTACTTGAGGCGAGATAAGCTGTTGCTAGAGGAAGTTACTTCACACAGTAAAAGTGGACCTGAAGGGAATTAGGATTGTTTCTCAGCCATCCTGGGAGGATTCGTATGTTCACCTGAGAAGAGACTGTATTTGGTTGTTTATCCTGGGGATCCCTTTGGCTAAGTGCCCTGGATTTTTCAATGTTGACCTCACAGTGTGAACTCAGGGAGTGCATGGATTTTTTTTTTTTAATTTACAAATAATGATGACTTGAAAAGCTGTCTTTGGTGTAAGAATACTGACATATGACTGATGTAAATCAGGTAAATGTAGGGTTCTTTATGTAACCTAATATTTTTTCTTTTCTTTTTTTGAAACAGGGTGTGCTGTATCTTTCAGGCTGGGTTTGAATTCACTGTATAGTCCAGGCTGGCCTTGTACTCACAGTGCTCTTCCTGCCTCAGCCTCCCGAGTGCTGGAATTATAGGCGTGTACTAACACACCTAGCTGATGTAATTTAATCTTGTCTTTAAGCCATCCAAATGGGCTTGGGTAGAGTGTCAGATAATATCAGTGACAATGTGATGGGTGCTGGAGAGGGAGGGGACAGATGGCAGCAAGATTTTAGCCAACAAGGAAATTTGGGATTGTATTTTGAGCTGTTCAGGAGTTTTTGTAGGGATCAATACAGAGCAAAGGCATTGAAGATGGACATTGTAGAAAGATCGCTCCTACTGAGGGCATCGTGTGCGGGTACTGATGGCACCCAGCTGTCTCACTCTGACACTGGGGCGTGTGCATGTTGGAAACCCTTTGTTCATCTTGGTGAGTTACAAACCGCCTTTCTTACTTTTGCTGCAGACTGCACCTCTTCCCTTGCTCTGTAGTCATGGGGGAACTTGTTTTGTGTAGTGAGTCTCAAGTCTGAGCAGCTGAGGGGCACTGACGGTAACACGGTGTTCTCTTCTGGATCCTACTGAGATCGCCTTCTACTCCGCTGCTCCCTGCCCACCTGCCTGTTGTGTGTCTCTGTAGACTTCGAGGGGTCACATCCTGGGCTTCGTGTGCCCTTAGCCTTCCTCACCCAGATGCATTGCCAGGACCCAGCGCACAGTGTCTAGAACGGTGCTGGTGGAGCTATCTTTTGCAGTGCTCAGGGTGGAAACCAGAGCTTCAAGATCTCCCACTGAGCTACATTCCCAGCCCTGGGCATTTTAGAATCACTGGAGATTCCTGCTGCCCAACTTTATTCTGTTCTTCTGTTATTTCCGGGACATTTGATTGAGAGGTTTTCTCATTCTGATGTTAGCTGTTGATTCTTACTTATTTTTGTATTTATTTAGTACTAGATTTTTGTTTGTCTTTTTTTTTTTTTTTTTT